CTAAGAACCATTCCAGCCGATATAAACACACTGTACTTCATCCTTGCATTCCATCTCCCCAAATAGACAAAATAATTCCTAATTTATATTGCTCCTATTAAAGTAGAAGACTCAAGTTACTGTCTAAAATGACACTTAAGACATTTGTTTAGCAAATATAAAAATATAAATAGGAAACAATTTAAAACTAAACAGGGCTCCCTCCTGGGCTGCAAGCTTCATTTCACACTAAACTGCTACTCTTAAAAACCTACACACAAAGATTTCAGGATTTCACCTCTTAAAGCTTGGGGAACTGACTGTAACAAATTATAGGCAATTAAAAACAGCTCTCCCAAACTATACTCCCATAAGCTTTCCTTCCCCAGTATGCCCAGTCTGGCCCAAGAATTAGTTTCAACCACACACAATCTTTCATGGCTAGAAGTGACTCGTCTCAGAGGAAACACGGGAAGTTAAGCTATTACTCACCAAGTTCACAGAGGTGACTCAATCACACTTTAGTTTCAAGTAACCAAAAGTCTGGCTCACATGGTTAGGTGGTAAGGAAAAGCTCCAGATGTGCAAAGGTAGGGTGTGCTACGCCAGGGCCCAAGATGCTCCTAGTTCTGCTCTAAGGAGATGTGATGCCCAAGAAATTCTGCCACATCCACAGTGCCACGCTGCTTTTTCTGAGCATTTTTTAAGAAGTCCCTAATAAAGCTGGATATGCAGCAATAAACACATGTAATCCATCAAGATCACAAGTACAAGCCCTTCTTGGGTAACTTAGCAAGACCCTGTGCCAAAAATAGAAAAGGGGAAAGAGAGCAGGACTGAGGATATTGCTCAGTGTAAAGATGCTGGGCTCAAGTCCAATCGTGAAAGGTCCCCAACGTCTCATTAGCTCAATTTAGGCATGTCTATTACCAGCCACTGAATTAGCAGACTAGCACTAGTAGCAAAGGTAATGGTGCCATCATTCCCCAAAGCCAAGACAGGGGATGACTTAAAACTATGGCTTCTGCCATGAAGGATGGGACATCAGCATCACAACGGCACTGACGACGAGTAAAGGACAAGACAAACATTTCCTGCTCCACTCCGGTAGACTGAGGTATGGCCCAATGACTCATTTCTTTGATAACACCCAGCCAGAGTAAAGACAATGATTACTTTGTTAAAGGCAATGATACCTCTGAAGTCACTTTACACAAACAAGGCCCAAAGATGGCAATCAGTATAATAAATGCGAAAGAACTATTACAAAGCATAAGCTGCCAGACAATGGATAAACTTGCCAGCTTGTGAGCAAGAGAAAGAGAAAAAAAACCCTACAGACCTGAAATGACTTAAAAAATTTAAGCTAAGCCTTAAATCAACAGAGACATGAACCAACTCAAAAACACCTGATTTATTAAACATAACAGGAATACTACTTGGGGCAGGGCTAAGGCAAACTGTTAACAGCACTTAAAATTTCTCACCCAGAAATACGCTGTTATTCTCCAATGAATAATAACCTTGCTCCTAGCAACACCTCAAGTTGACTTCACAAATACCAAAAATACTGTCATCACAATTCAGATGAGTTTGACCTTACATATTACCAAATTTCCAGGGCCAGCCAGATAGCTCGGTGGATTAAAGTGCCTGTTTAGGTAGACAAAGGGGCGAGGGGTTCCATCCCTAGCCTACCATGCTGGCCTCCCCATGAGGCGCACTGAAATGGTGATTGAGACTGGATGTGATGGCGTGCACCTGTAATCCCAGGCCTTGGGAGGCTGAAAAACAGGAAACATCACTTAAGTCTGATCTGTGTAGTGAGACCCTGAACTAAATACATTTTTTAAAAAAAGCGTATTACCAAACTTCCAACTTCAGGGACCAGCCAAATAGTTCAGCAGATTAAAGTGCCTGCAAGCAGGATAAGGGGCCAGGGGTTCAATATCCGGGCCTGCCCTGCCGGCCCTGCCCCCGAGGTACTCTTAGATAGCAATTGCGACTGGGCATGGTGGTCCGTGTGTATAATCCCAGCTCTTGGGAGGCTATAAACAGGCGGATCACTATAAGTCTGATCTACTAGTGAAACCCTGAACACCCTGTAGACCCTTTCCTACAATACAAAAAAAAAAAAAAAACCTTCCAACCTCAATTTTTGTTGGGTTACTTCTACCATTAAACTTCAAATAGATACAAAAGTTGCTAGATATGCACTATCAGCGTACCTAGTTCTGCATGGATCTTCAATTTAAAATTTTACCTTTACAATTATATAAATCACTAAGACTACTCTTGAATTTCATCACTAATGAAGGGCAAGATATCAGATATTAAAGTAGGGAGAGAACGGGGATCGAGAGATGAAGTCGGGCGGGAAAGGAAATGGAAAAGCAGAGATGTGACATGTACCAACTCCACATGAGGAGCGTACTACGCACTACAAATATGCACTGATAAAAGATTAAACTGAAAAAACTTAAATCCTAACCATCTTAATAAAAACTCAAATCAGAAGTAACTTATTGGAAAAATTCTGCCTTATAAATGTATCCAAATTCTACTTATAATGTCCTCCCTAACACTTTATAAAATCAGTTAAAAGGTTCTTTCAGAAATCGTTATCTCAAATTTAAGTCCTGGGATATATACATTTTATACACTGCGTTGAAGGACACAAGTTGAGAAAAAGGTGCTTTTAAAAATAAATTTACTTTAATATCTTTATGCCTAGTAATAACCAACATTACAAGACAACAAATATAGAATAATGATGGTATTTCTGAATAGCACTGCTGCTACAGTCTGACAGAACATTTTTTTAAAGGTTAAAATAGACATTACTGAGCTTTTAGTACTTAGAAGAAAAAAAGACAAAAGTTTTTGGAATCAGAACTGGATTCAAATTCTATCTTTTTTATCACAACTCTGATCCTAT